TCAGGCCCTTAAAGTGGCAGGCACCAACAGTGCCCTGCCACAGTCCCCAATTCCATCCTCACTCTAAAGTGGCCCTCCTAGCCTGTATATGCCCCCAGGTCACTTGTTGCCTTAGGCAGTGGTGGGCAAAATGCAGCCCACAGGCTGGATGCGGCCCACCAGGCCATTCTATCCACCTGTGGGGCCCCTAAAAAATTTAGAAAATGTATATTCATCTGCCCCTGGCTGGCTGGCTGTCATGCAGTCCTCAACGGCTTCCCAAAACTCAGTAAGTGGCCCTCCACCCAAAATAATTGCCCACCCCTGCCTTAGGGGCTATTCATGGTATCTGAATAGGTCTTACAGGTGATATCACTCAGTCACTCCTGTTGGAGCTTTCACCTTCTCAGCCTCTGCCCCTTTTCTCTTGCTGTAGCCTTCTAGCTCAGGCCCACAGTGTTGGTCCTGGCTTCTGGGCTCCATCTCTTGCCTCACCCTCTCGAGCTCTTATCTTTGCCTCTATCTGGACTGTGGGCTTTCTAGCCCCAGGCTCTGCTCCTCTGGGGTTGCAAGCTTCTGTCTCCACTGTCTGCCCCATCTGGGGCTCTGGACCTAGCCTTCTTGGCCTCAGGCCACTTCTCTCTCTCTTTCTTAGGTATCAGTCCTCTCAGATTCCAGTTGCCTTTTTCTTGACCACAGCCCTGGGCAGGACTCCAAAACACTGGTGCCCCTGGTACCTAGCTGCAGTTAACTGCAATGCTCCACAGACACCCCACAGTGTGTTAACCAGAATGCACCCCCTCCGACACCTTGTTGTGGTGTCCACATACTCCCCTTAGAGATGCACCCAAACCACCAATGGAAAAATGCCAACAGAAAAATATAGGCACTGTGACTTTAACACAAGCTCTCAACCCACTGGCTCTCTCTGAAACCCACTCTTCCTTCTGGGTCTCAGTCCCCTACCAGCCCTCAGCTCCTTGCTGATCTCAAGCTGAGTGAGGTCTTAGTCATCCCACCAGGCATCTTGCAGCAGAGCTCCTTTCCCTTCGGCTTCTGGGGCTATACTGCCTTCCCTGCCACAAGCCCTGGGTTTGTGCATCTTTCAGGCCCTGTCCCTTTCCAGTCAAGTGACATCCCTGGGCTGGCCGCAAATCTTCCCTAAGTAGGCTTGCTGGATGGCTTCCAGAGCACCCTGTAGCAGTGCCTTGTCTCCTGTGCTGCGTTCTGCCTTACAGTACCACTGCTTAGCAGCTAACACTGCAATAGGCACTCTGCTGCCCCTGCAAGCTCCACTTTATAGAACTGTTGTGGCACAGCTTGCTCTACAATAAGTCCTGCTAGCCTGAGGGCTCTGGTGAATGGCAGTTAGGTGCACTGAGAGACTGTCTTCTATGCAAGTGATATGGAAAACTTTCACGTAGCATGGAGTGGCTTGCGCCTCCTGTGCTCATCAGTCTGTTTGCATGCACAGCTTGCCAGTAGACACAACTGCTGGGTTTTTTTTTCTGCAGATCCACATGTGCTGCTTTATGCTGGTACAAAAAAAATCACTGCTGTTCTGTTCACTCCATGCAGTCACTGTAGCAAGGGCTCATAAGATGGTGCTCTAGACTTTTTGTAACATACAGGGAAAAAAAATAAAGCCTTGGTGGCTGGGAGGAACAGTGGCAGCTGATAGTAATAGGAAAGTCCATGGGGAATGGGGTTTTGGAAGAAGTCTAGAAGAGGGATTGGTGGGTGGAGAGAGTCTGGGCAAGGGTGAGCGTGGGGCCATGGGAGCTGGAACATGCTTGGGTTGTAGACTTCTGTCTAAAACCTTCAAGTTTCCACCACAGTTGCTCTCCTTCCTTAGCCTGTTTTTTCCCTGAACACTGTAGTTTGTTTTGGTACCAGCACAAAGATAGGACAGAGAGGCACTGGGTTCATTTGCCTACATGAAGCCATGCATCACTGGGTCTGCTAGTGGCTAGGAGAAATAGCTCCGGCACCCTTCCTCCAGTGGATGTGAGACCTTTCAACTGTGCTGCAGGCAGTTGTGACAGAGTAACTGAATTCATGGGTGTCCTAAGAGATGTATAACACCTGGTCACCCTGGATAAACAGGCTCAAATAAGGGCAGGGCTTTATTCTAGTTCATGATATGACTGCATAGGCAGGCTTGGTATAACAAAAATAACTGATTTTAGGAGCTTGCCTCTATCATGTTACAGACTAAGGTTGTAGGATGGCAGCAGTGAGCCAGTAGTAGGGCTGCTGACCCAGGTGTTTTTGTTACCAGTAAGTAAACCAGAAGGAGCAGGCACTGCAGGCCATGGGCCAGCCAGAATGATATGTTAACATACCCTACTACACTGAGCAGCTGGCTACTGGCCTCGAGCTGTCAGATTTGCAGCTGTATCGGCAGGGGGCCCCGCGCTCTTCTCTGTTTCTTCTAAGTGAAGCCCAGAGACGCACGCTGTCATGCTCCTTGACTAGAAGTAGGAGTAACATGTAACCATACAATTGTTTGCTATACGCATTTATTTGCATTCACCACCTTGCACTTGAGCACTTCAGCCTTGCCCACTCCTTGTCCATAGCAGACCTGCTGGCTTTCTCCTCTAGTATACAGTTGCCTTTACAATTGGGCAATCTTTAAATCTTTAAATAAAAATGAGAGCTTGTCAAGAAAATTGCCTGCAAGGGATGGGTGAGAGAACATTATTAGGGTGCTCTGAGAGAGCTTGATCTGCTGCTATATCGTACCTGTTCTGTGGATAAAGAAGATCTATGGTACATTAATTTAATTCTCTTTGGGTGCATCTATGCATTCAATTGGTGTAGCACAATAAACTCTGGTGCAGTTTGCACCAGAGTTAATGGCTCCTGGGACCACAGCAGTTTGAGCTGGGGCAGAGCATCCCTGGGCTGATAGCAGGCTCAGTCAGCCCTGCTGCTTCCCAGTGTGAGGTGGGCATAGGCTGAGCCACAGGGCAGGAAAGGTAAAATAGGTGGGAAAAGGTTTGTCCTGAAAAGACTCAGTCACCTATTTTGGATAATACAAATAATGAGACATTTACCAAGATGAATTTTATATGTAGATGTTCCAAATTTTAAATTATTCTTGTAGTTCTTTTCTGAACCTTTTTCAGAAGCCTTCGACATCTGGAGACAGGGCTTCAGTAAGTCTCAATAATACTCTGTACAAAGAAAACACACACTCCTCATACTATCACTGCCTGCTTCTCTTCTCTCCTGAAAGGTGGCAATAAACAATTAGGCCACAGAGTACAGTGAGTTTAAGTAAGCTATTTTACCATCTACTGAGATGCCTGGCAAGGGTGTCAGTCAGCCATCTATGAATCCTTTAGTCCAGTGGAGCTCAACCTTTTAGTGGTGGGCTGGGTGCATGCAGCCCTGCAGCACTGTGGGCCATCATTTCCCTCTGGTAGAGGAGAGGTGAGGGAGAGGGAGGGAGAGAGCAGGGAGGACTGGGGAGACCAGTGGTACAATACAGAGCAGGGAAGAGGATGCATGATGATCTCCAGTGCCGGAGCTGTGGTCTGGATCCAGCCTGTGGGTTGAACACCACTGCTTTAGGCCTTTGGTTTTGACACCTGAAACTGTAAATATATTTACCTTGTATTCACAAATCTTGTTGACATGCAGCAATTTAGGAACAAATAGGAAGGAACAGGAAAGATAGGAATAGGAAGTTCACCAAGAACTTCATTTTGAAAAAAAACCCTGTGTGTATTATTTTAAGGGTTTAGAATATAGCTTTTAAAAAACTTACGTGGTGTTTGTCCTAAACTAAAACGCAATGTAAGGTGCGGGGGAGTTATTTAATACATGTACTGCTGGGATATCTTTAAAGCTCTTAAAAGTTCACAAGTTACTGTAAATACATCTGGATGTTTTTATTCTTGGAAATCTGTTGGATCCTACAGTCTTAAAAGTAAACAAGAAACTAAATTAACTATATTTGGGCTAATTAAGGTGTCCTTAAACCTTCTTTTCCAATGTGGAAACATTGTTTTCTCCTCTTAGCTGTACTTGGCTGCAGAGAGTTCACAGAGAAAACTGAGTAGCTGGAATTAACTGCAATCTCCTCCATTTGCTCATAGGAACACATCTCAGTCTACCAACACAAGCCAATACAATCGAGCAGAGCTTCCAGCTTTTAAGAGTCCTAAATTTCAGACCACCACTACCGTTTGCAAACAGCTGTCCTCCGGCTTAACATAGTTTAGAATTTGCCTGTTAAATTTGACTCTTTTCTTTAACCTACAGATTAGGTTAATTAAAATTGTTGATTTTTTTTCCTGAAAAAATATTGCTAACAGTAATTTTTATAGGCTTAAAGGACCAGCTTGTGGGAGTCTATTGAGTCCATTTGATTTTGATTCCTAATAAACTTTTCCTGAGTTCCCCCCACAACAAGTCTAGGACTTCGAGGGTTCCTATCTATCAAAACTTCTAGGGAAATCTATTCTGCCGCTGGCTCAGGCTCTGATTCTCTTTTTTTCTGTTTCTTTTTCTGTTCCTTTTTTTTTCCCTTTTTTTCCATTTAGTACAAATACTCCTCCTCGCTGTTAAAAACATGGAGTCAGCTACAAGCAGTACAGTTTTCATATTAGTTATTTCTTTATTAGTTATTTCTTTATACTGTGACTGTCCAGGACTACTTTTTAATCATAATACTGGGAGGATTGTTTCTTTCCCTTATCACTTAAATTGCTTGTTTGCTGTTCGTTTGTCCTGCTTTTTGTCACTTTAGATTCCCTTTTTGGGTTGTTTATTTTTTTTCTTATACTGCTGGTAACTGATAACAACATGGACATTGCCTTATCCTGTTTGTCTTAAAGGATCTTTAAATACCTTGTACATTTTTGTATGAGTCCGCAGAAGTTGCGTGTTCTTCAGCCTGATCTTTAACCCATTCACAGTTCCACTATCCAGTGATAACTGGGCTTTTAACTGACTTGTCTCTAGTCATTTACCTGAACAGCTTCTTTGCTATCACATAGGTGAATATTCAGATTTTCAAGCTCGGCTACTTCTGCCTGCCAGTAACTGACTTGCTGGTTGGAAACTTGCATTTCTCTGCTAACCCTTTGATTTCCAATTTTAGATTGTATTTGTAGCTGCGTGGACACCTCTTTTCTCTTTTATTTTCATAGCACTGGGATAGAGGTGCCCAAGCCCCAGTAAAGCTTTTGCTAGGGCTATTTTGGCTACACTGTAGACCAGCGGTTCAAATCCCCTTCCTCTTTGGAGGAGAAGGAAGTGTTTCACCACTCAAAGCAGAGTTTCATCTTACTGGAAGTACAATTGAGCTTGTAGTTTTGCTGTAGTTGCTTTGCAGTGTGCACCTCTAGCCTGCCTTCTGCCTGACTTCAGACTAACATGATTAACTACCTCTCTGTAATGAGCATGGGAGACTGCCCTTTTCAGCTCGGGTTCTTCTGCATCCCTTGTCTGGGGGACATCCTCCAGTTTCTTTGCTATCTCTTGCAATTGCTGACAATTCTCAGAGAGTGCTTCTTTCTTGTTGGTCACTCGTCCCAGCACCTCCTAGGACACCTGGGCAGCCTGTACTACCTGCAGGTTACTTTCAATCATTTGTCGGGCTTGCTGCTCACCCATAACCTGCACTTGCAAAACGCCTAGCTCTGCCTAGCCATGTTCTAAACCTGTCAGGGGCATCCCTATTCACTTTCCTCAGCCTTGGAATAATGCCTTTTTTTAATGCAGCCTTCCCCCATTTAGTAGCCACAAGCTTTCCCCATTGATTATAACATGCATTCCAAGGTGATCAGGATTCCCTGCGAGAACCTCATACCCACTGGCGAGCTTCCAGTGGGAGGATCTTAGCAGACTTTATGTAAATGGGAGACTTACCTAGACCAGGGGTCCCTGGCTTGATCCTGTGGCTATATGGCTGAGGGCAAACCAGACTCGGGGGCATCCAAACCCCAAGCTTCCAGGCTTGGCCCTGTATGTAGGATGCCCGCCAAAGGATTTGGAAGTATCTGAAGCCCCAGGCAAGGTTGGAGGATGTTTGCCGGTCGTAAGGCCACATTTGGTTCTTGAGTGACATATGGATTTGGAATCGATTTGGCTGATCTGACTTGGAGCATGAAAAATTTTCTTTAAAAATAAATAAATAAATTGGTGGGCTTGCTGCTCACCCATAACCTGCCCTTGCAAAGCACCTAGTTCTCCCTAGCCATGTTCTAAACTTGTCCTGATTCTCCCTATTCACTTGCATCAGCCTTGGAATAATGCCTTTTTTTTAATGTAGCCGTCCCCCATTTAGTAGCCACAAGCTTTCCCTGTTGGTTATAACATGCATTAAGGATGACCAGGAAAGGAAATTTAAAATACCAGTGCTTAATTGTGTCTGCTCTTGCTTATTTGTATACAGAAGGCAGGCATATTATTCTTATAACATATCAATTAGGTGATCAATTAGGATCTACTAAAAACATGTCCTGGAACCAGTAAGATCCTCCATGAGAGGAGATGTTTATATCAACTGAACATGAGATTACATCTTTGTCTTGCTATAGTTAACAAAGGCATCATTTTTTTCAGAGAGAGGCAGTTAGCAGTGTTAGTCTAAAATAAGGCAGAAGGCAGGGTGGAGTTGCACAGTTGCATACAAAAGCTTGTGCATCGCTGATTTAGTTGATCTATGAGGTGCAACTCTGTTTTTCATATTGTTTTGTTTTCAGTCAGGCTGTCTAAATCACACTTATTACCACTTGGTCTAGGTCAGGGGTAGGCAACGTTATTTGGCCAGAATGCCAAAAAACCCACAACGTCTACCTTGGAAGGTGCCAGAGTGCTGACATGCCGGAGCAGCTGTTTGCAGCCTCCCAGCTGCAGCCGGCCCACGGAGCCTGGTCTGCTTGCAGCAGGGCTTGCATCCCGCCAGCTTCCTGCTGGGAGCAACCTGGCCTCCATGGCTGGCAGAAGCTGCTTATAGCCTGGGCCGGCGGTGGTGTGCCGAGCAAAATGGCCTTGTGTGCCATGCTCGGCACATGTGCCAGGGGTTGCTGACCCCCTGGTCTAGGTTATAACTGGTTGGCTTGACCCACAAGATTATGTTTTTTTCCCTGACTTTGAAGTTGCAGAAATTATTGCTTTCACAGAAACTCCTACCAGATGTGAACTGAAAGGGGCTTCAGGCTCTGAATCAGATGTCCCAGAATTGGGTCCTATGGCTCACTCTGCTTAGTTAATGGGTTCCAACTGGATTTTGGCCATCACCAATTGCCTTGTAAAAGCTGAATCAAAGCTTACTGGAAATATGTGATTAAGAAATTATGTCACGCCTTCATAAAGGGATGGTCTGTTTATTTTGCTTTTCAGATGGCTGAAAAGTAAGAGACTATCAGAAGAAAGGAGGAAATTAAAGAATTAAACTCAGCATGGTTCCAGTATGAAAATAATCCTGTATTTATGCTATCTAACTCCCCTTACTGTCCTCAACAAAGTTGCACAATACACCTGGGCATGCTCTGTCAAATACCTACCTAATTCTCCCGCTTGCTATTCTTTTTAAAGAAACACAAAAATGCCATTGTTTTAAACGGTTTGAAAAATCAAGAATATGCCTTCATTGCAAACTGCTAAGTGATCTCTTTCATTTCACAGAGAGTTGAAGATACGGGTATCAGTATCTCTCAGGATCAGACTCTTGAAGAGACATTCTCTGTCTCCTTCCTCGGTTAATTTGGACTCTTTGTTAGCGTTGGGCAATAAGAAGCGTGAAATGAACTTTTTCTACAACGGTTCATATTTCAGTTATTAAACTATTGGGAAAAAACATGCTTGTTTCAATGACTTCACCCTCCATATTGCTTTCATGAGTGTACAGATAGTAAGAAGGTTTATTAATCACTATTATAGTGACTATAAAGAGCAGCCATATTTTTCATGTCTGTATGATTCACTTTAATTAAAGGGAAACTATACGGTAAGAAAAATTTTAAATCTTCATGAGAGCACAGTCTATATCTCTTCTGAAACAATTTCTGTCTCATGGATTAACAGCAGCATGTCAAGAGAGGCCACAACTGAGCAATGTAAAAATAACAGACAAAAAAGTTTTAGAATTTTTGTACCCAATAGCTGCCAGCTAATAACTGGGTTTTAATGAAGTCCTGATATATGTGGGATTTATATTTATGTACCACACATGTTTCTGAATACTACAATTTCAAGTTGTCTCAAGAAAAAGAATTGATGAATAGTCAGGCTTGTTATATACTTACAAAGCTTCAAGGTAATGATTGTGCATAGAAAAAATGCAATAAGTTCAAGTGGGCATGTGCTATAGCTCACTTGAACATTTTATCTGTAAAACTAAAAAGCTTGAGGAAAAGGTCAGCTCAGCAAAACACCTTCCCTCTTCAGTGGTTAAAGTAGCTGAATGCTGCACTTGTTAAACTTTTGAACGCGGAATTGTGCTGAGCCCGACATAGCATAGGAAAAAATAATTCTCTAATGTATATTTTACCTGTATATGTTTGCTCCAAGAAGAAAGAAAATACATTTTTTTACAAAATATCACTGAATTTTTTTAACTATTTTTCTGAAACTTCTGCTGGAGTTGTGTTTCATGTTCTCATAATAAATAAAAATAAATAGGGGGGATTCATTTAATGAGTTTACACTGATTAAAAGAATGGATGCAATGGATAAAAAGGCATCTTTTGTTAAGAATGTTTTACACAATAGCACTAGTAGGAACCACTTCTAAAAACAGTTTTTTCATACTAAATCTGTACCTATCTGTCAGAGAAAAATTGGAACTATATGCTGATAACGAATATCCTCAAACTACACAAGTGGCTGCAAAAGATGTCATGTATCTGGGATAAATCATTTTATCCTGGGGAAAAAGTGAAAGCATATAGACATTCACATCCTTTATCCTGGGATAAATGATAAAAAGTTCCCTGGATAAGAAGTAGTAATGACTTATCCTGGGAAATTGCAAAATATATCTGTACAGTTATCCCACTATTACATCATTGAATCAATGGCAGAAAAGAGCACTGCATTCAGCCATTAACTAAAACTTGATTAGAAGAGTGATGTTTTTGTTCGGGACAAACACAAGCACAGCTTACCCCAGTACAAATGCAACATCTGTTCCTAGCCAATGTTCCTTTTGTCAAGCTCTCTTTGAGAAGGGAGAAGGTGTGAAGGTGGTAGAACGGGGTAGGCAATGTTTTTTTGGCTGGAGTGCCAAAAAAACCACGCTGTCTACCTTGTAAGATACCGGAGTGCCAGCATGCCAGAAAAACAAAACGAGGGCAGGGGGTACATGGCAGGATGCACTGCATACTGGTATAGTTAATAATCATAAATGTTGCTTTTTATGGTAAATACCAGATTTTCTAAAAATTGTAAACCTGGTAACAATAAATAAAACTGTTGATAATACCTTTGATCTTGTGTATTTGTTCTGTGCGGGTCCCCACACAACAGCTCCCCAGCCCTGCCCATGCCCCTGGCCCCTAGCCCTGCCTGAAGGGGCCCCCAGCTGCCAGGGCTATGGGGCCACGGACCCAGGTCTGCAGCTCCCTGCCTGCCCCCAACAGAAGGCAGTGGCTGCTGCAACAGGAGCATGAGCCAGCTCCCCCACTGCTGCTGCCTGCTGTCTGCAAGCTCACAGAGGGGTCGCACAGGGAACCTGCCTACCACTGCAAGCTCTGTGCGGCCCTGGTCACACTTCCCTTGTGTGCACAGGGGCAGCACGGGCAGCAGCGCAGGGTTGTGTCCCTCATTGCTGCCCCTGCCTGCAGGGGAAGTGTGGCCCAGGCAGCAAGGAGCTCAGAGTGGCAGGCAGCTTTTGTGCACCCCTGCTGTGCCCTGCTGCGCTGGAGAGGCAGTGGGGGAGGGCAGCACGGTGGGGAGCATCGCTGGTATCTGCTGCCTCCCCGGAGCCTGGGGCTGGGGCTGGGGTTGGGAGGCAGCTGGGGTAGGGAGGCAGCGGCCCAGGCTCTGGGTAGCTGCTGCCAGCCATGGTGTCTGGGCTGCTTGCAGCAGGGCTTGCAGCCTCCCGGCCACCTGCTGGGAGCAGCCCAGGCTGGCAGCAGCTGCCTAGAGCCCAGGCTGGTGGTGGCATGCCAAACAAAATGGTTGCCGACCCATGTGGTACAATATAAGAAGTCATGTGCCATCCTTTCTGTGGCATGAGAGTTTTTGCAGATGAAGGTGGAGATCCAGCAGTAAAACATTCTAAACTCATTTCTTTTTTTTACAATACCGTTTTGTTTTCAATCTTTTTTTATACAGTGCATTCAAATAAATAGGACAGTATTGTAGGAGGTTTGCAGTTCTACCTCTGCGATGGTAAGAATCATTCCATAGGAATCACTATTGTCAGTCTTAAGAGTATGGATTAGCAATGCTACCAAAGAACTTAAAGAAAAACTCTTTGGACTTCAGGTAAGATTTGGGGCAACATGGATGCTATTGTTTTCTGTGTGATGTTGGGTGACTCAGAACTCGCGGAGTTGGTCGCTAATTGTGTTTTCTTTATTTTTTGGATATTCATGTTGGGATTCCTAAGGTCTTAGTTTTCAAAGGCACTCGGCTTCTGCAATTCTTACAATGTCTTACTAGAGTGGCTTACCAAATATCACTTGTCATGTCTGTCCGTGGCTAGAAAGCATGCTTTTGAGTCCCAGATTCCTGCCTAAACCCTGCCATGTTTTTACTTCCCCTTCCCTCATTTGCAAACAACTTTCAGTTTCTATAGAAAGTGAGTGAGAGAGAATCCCTATAGATATTGGCCTCTTTCATTATAGAGTCACTGTCCCTCTTGTGTACTGAGTGAGGCAGGATTCATGAATAAAATATGAATAAAATATAGCATGACGTTTCATAAACATGAATGCTGCCTGTCCCCGGATGCTGTGGAGGCACAGCGAGCTCCCGCAAGTGGCGGTGGTGCTGTTGGCAGCCACGGTGCTGTCAGCGGCAGGGGAAGGTGGTGTGACCACCCACCAGTGGCGCCTTTTCACAGGGGGTGGATCGCCACGCTCAGGGGGTGCATGTGCACCCATGTGCACCCCCTACACGTCACCAATGCTTATAACTAAAAGTTATTTCATAACAGAACTACACACTACAGTGGAGCAGTTTTATACCTGGTTGGGTATAACTAGTATTTCTTTTCTACAATACTACAAGGTTTCATTGCTGCAAACTTCACAGCACTTCCAGCTGGATCCCCCAGCCTTTACAGATAATTTGTTGGTGCTTTTTCGCTTTCAATGATTTATGTACTCCTCTATAAATCCCCCTACTCATTTCATCTTGTTTTCTTCATCCAGCTCCACAAGAATTCCTCAATATCCTTTTCTACCAAACACAGTCAATGACCTTTCCATATCTTGTACCTCTCCTGTAAACCTCATTTCTCTTCCTTACCCTTGAAGTCCAGTTACAAGTGGGACTCAAATATTGTTAAGCAGGATGAGCCTGCTGAAAGAGATGTTTTGAATGAAAAACTATGTTGAAGATTAGCTACTTCTAGGTTAAAAGGGAGTGGACTGATCTAGTTTTTATCACAAATCTGGAACCATATTTGCAAAAGTTGTTGAGTACATATGACTAAGAGAGACCAGCAGTTCAGGGAGGGAGGGAGATTTTACCTTGAGGAAAAATCAGAACTTTACTGTAGATAATACTTTTTTTCTGATGATAATAGTTCCATCATTCAATGTAAAAAATTTTTTTACAGTGTTCTAGAAATATTTTTTTCCAAATAGAAAGCTGTCTTTAATGCAAGCAATAGCTTTGGATCAATTAGAAAGCAGAAGCCCCCCTCCCAACATGTCCCAGGCTCCCACCCGATGAGCCCCCATGCTCACCGCAGGGACCGGGACGAGCAGCAATTGTGAGAACATGCCGACACAGGCTCGGCAGTTCCACAGCTGCCTGAGCCTGTGGATCGGCGAGCCCCAGGGGCAGGGCCTAAAAGCAGCGCGGGCTGCTCAAAAAGCAGCTGGGGAAACACCCAGCTGGCCAGAGGGAGAGGAGGACGCCGCCAATGAGAGATGTGCAGTGAAGCCGAGTGGGGAGAAGCAGGACGTTGGCCGAGAGAGGCAGAGCGCTGGTGGGGAGAGACAGGGTGCCAGTGGGGAGAGACAGCCAGTAGAGCCAGGTAGGAGCAGCAGAGCTGGGCGCAGGTCAAGAAGCCCCAGCGCCCACCAGGGAAACCCAGTGGGGAGAACCACAGTTCTGGGCTTGGGGAGCTGAAGTTGGCCAGAGGGACACAGCAGGGAGGCGGAGGTCATCCCCACAATCACGAGCAAAGACCAGGCTGAGCTGGAGCATTCAGGTACCCCGGTGGGGAAGGGCAGCAAGCAATGGCAAAACTCAGTGGGAGGCTGGGTGAAGAGGGGGGAGCAGGCAGCGATGGGCCAGAGCACTTCAGGGAAGAGGCAATCCCCACCACATGGTGGGAGCAGGAGTGATTGACTCCTAGCCTGCTGGTCCCGGGGAAAAGTAACTGGAGGGACAGATGAAGATTCCTTCTCCCATCCCAGGGAGGCAGAAGGGGTCCTGGGGAGCCAAAGTCCCCTTATACTTCATCGGCAGATGCCGAACGTCTTTGCCTTGAGCGAAGAATCTTCTAAGTTATCATTACCCCAGGTGGGGGCATGTTTAGATATCTGCGGGTTGGTCTGAAGACAAGAGTTCATTCAGGAGCGATTGACAGCCAAACATACCTGACCCAACTCGGGGCGGGCCTCGTGGGTGAGAAGAGATCATCCCGGGGAAGATTACAGGGAGCAGAGCCCTCCCAGGCCATGGATGTGGTAAGGGTCGGGTAAAGGGGAGTGTTCCAGGGGAGCCGGGGTGGCAGGAGGCCCCCAGGCCAAAAGAGAGCTCCACTTACCTCTCGCAGAGCCCAAAGAGCCAGAGGAGAGGCGCGTGGCGAAACCACCGGTGAGGGTGATTAGCCATGCGTATATCCAGCTGTGGACAAGCAGCATGGGTGGGAGATGCCGCCTGGGAGAGAGAAAAAGTGGCCCTGACGATGCGGCGGGGCAGCTGACGAGTGGAGGCTTGAGGGAAGAGCCCTCACACGGAGGGGATCAGCCGCTGTGCCCGGCAGGGTGGAAAGCGGGGGGCGGGCCAGGAGAGGCTCCGACGGAGTCGGCAGCGACGCCGACAGCAGAGCCAGTGGGGAAGCCGGCTGTAACGCCGATAGCAGAGCCGGCAGGGAAGCTGGCTGTAACACCGGCAGCGGAGCCAACAGGAAAGCTAGCAGCAATGTCAGCCGCAGAGGCGACAGTAAAGGTGGGAGCAACACCAACAGGGGATCTAGCAGCTGCACCTGCAGCAGAGCCAGTGGCAGCACCCACGGAGAAACCGGAGGCAGGAGCTGAGAGAGCGAGCCTGTACGGGAGCCTCGGAGAAGAGGTAACAAAGGGGCGTGTCCAATGGGGCCTCGTCAGGCCGCACCAGAGGGCGGCCGAAGACCTGAAGTGGGATCGGACAGTGGACCTTCGTGGCCCACAGCAGCCTTAGGAAGAGGTGGGGACTTAACACCCCAGTGGGGTGAGCTGCCAGGGCTGTGGAACCCAAGCCCAGGGCAATCCACATGGCCCAGAGGCCAGAGGCACCCTTTTGGGCCTCCTGGCCCAGTAGTTTAGGGGCCTTAGTTATCTCAGTGGTGGGATAGGCACGTCACATCACAGGGTGATTAGTATAGGGCGATAGGGAGTCTTATTGGCAGGACCAGGTCGGAGGACCTCGTGGACCATACACCAGGCCCGAAGACTCAGGCACGCAGCTAGCAAGCCGTGGGCAGAGGTTGGGGAAGAGCTGAGGATACCAAAGGGGCCCAAAGAGCGGCAGCCCCAGGTGGCAAG